GACGGTAGCAACACCACCTTCTCCTTCAACCTTGTCTTTTGGCTTGGGCTAGGGCTTGACTTCGGAATCTTCTTCATCTCCGGAGTACCACACCTCCGCCATGTGTGCCTCCGCCACATGAGCACGCTCCGGCTTCTTCTTGCCTCCCTTAACCTTAGCTTCATTTGACTTGGGACAATCGGCAATGAAGTGGCCATATTTGCCACAATTGAAGCAAGCTCTCTTTGATTGCCTCTTTCCCTTGTCATCTTCCTTCCTCCCTTTGCCATAGCCACTCTTGCGAAGAAAGTGCTTGAATCTCTTGACAATAAAAGCCATCTCTTCATCTTCACTTTCTTCATAACTTGACTCTTCTTCTTGTTTTGCCTTCAAAACCACTTCTTGATTTTTGATCATGGTGGCATTCTTCACCATTTGCCTTACTTCACGAGCTTCCTCTTCTTGCATCTCATGACACACAATTCTTCCAAGAATGTCACTTGGGGTGAGCCTCTTGAAGTCTTTCCTTTCCCGTATCATTAATACAAGAGTGGGATTTCTTGGACCAAAAGCACGGAGAAGTCTCTTGACCACAAAGTGATTTGTCATGTCCTCACTCCCAAATCATTTAATCTTGTTAACAAGGATCATCATCCTATCATACATCTCTTGAGGTATCTCCTTGTCATCCATCACAAATCTTCCAAGCCTTCCTTCTAACAATCCAATCTTGGCCTCACGAACGGCGGGTGATCCCTCATGAGCCAATTGCAAAGTATCCCATATCTCCTTGGCCTCCTCTCCCATATCTCCTTGGCCTCCTCAAGTCCATCAACCTTGTTGAACTCCTCTGGATTCAAGGCGGAGAGAATTGCATTGGAAGCTTGAGCATTGCGGTGGATGAGTTGCTCACTCCGAGGTGAGCTCCATGTCATCATGGGGTACATCAATACCTGTACAAACAACTTTCCAAATACTTGGATGCAAAGAAATTAGATGCAACTTCATCTTGTGCTTCCAAGCGGCGTAATGTGTCCCATCAAATTGAGGAACACGCCCGGAAGGCACGGAGACAAAGTTATGAGGAGGAACATTAAGTTTGCCGTAATCAAAGTGAATAGTAGCTCCCTTGGGTCCAGTATCCTTGGTGCTAGAAGCGTCTCCCTTGTCATCCAACCCCCCGGTTCCCTCTAGATGCGACATCGTGGATCACTCCAAGCGGTGAAACTTGAATCAAGAGCACCTTGCTCTGATACCAATTGAACGTGCAGAGATGTAGCCTAGAGGGGGGGGGGGATGAATAGGCTTTCCTGAAATTTTCTCAACAATCGCAGCGGTTAAATTGACAGGGCCCGAAACCTCCTGGTGATGAACACCGGAACTTCCGGGCAGGATGAGTAGCCCGGAACTTCCGGAGTTCTTGAGCCAGGAACTTCCGGGCAGCAGAGATAATTTGAAAACTGAGAAAAAAAACAGGTCCTAGCTAGGAAGTTCAGGCACACATATGCACAAGATGAAGATCACAAGATATCAGCAGATTCAAACAACGAACATGCACAAGAGAGACAAAGACAATTTTTTCCCGAAGTTCGGATCGCACGGATCCTACTCTCCGTTAAGGTGCTCCAAAGAGCCGGGTCTCGATTAACCCCTTGCCTCACTTATGCAAAGATCCCAGAAGAGGTCCACAGCCTTCAACTCAACACTTCTAGATCATTTTCTAGAATTGAGTGACCACCAAGATCCAACTCAAAATTCCTTCTAGAAAAGACCACAAGTGCAAGTTGCTCTACCTAGGACAACCTCTGAAAACTCAGCACAAGAATCTTTACTCACTTACCTCGTTTCCTTGCGGAGGTGAGGAAAACCTTCACAAACTTTCCCGGGACATCCATAAGATCTTTGGAAGCTCACGGGCGACACCTAACCATCTAGGAGAAGATCTCCAAGAGTAATAAGCCCAAGTGACAGCCCACAAGGTATCCAAAGTGCTCAATCAACCCTAATCTTCAAGCCATCTCAAAACACTCCTACGCTCTCATCTATTCTCTCAATCTCACAAGATAGGCTCTAAATTTGAGTGGAGGAAACAAAGGAAGCTTGGGAGTGACTAGAAAACCCTAGAACATGAATGAACTAAAGTGGAATGGCCAAAGGGTGACCTGGGGACGAAATCCATATATATAACGGCTAGGTGACGTCATCTAGCCGTTACTTACAAGTTTGAACGGGAAACCTGCCAGGAGGTTCCGGGCAAAAGTGCCAGGAACTTCCGGGCAGCACTTAGGAAATTTTTTGCTTTGAAACAACGCCCGGAAGTTCCGGCCAGAACCTTCGGGTAGCCCTCTCTGTCCTGGGGAGAAAATCATTTTTCAAAAATGATTCCAAAAATCTTTTGACTCATGGATATGACTAAGAGCACTGTGTATACCCTAGAACCACACTTGAAACCCCTCTTAATAGTACGGTTTTTCTGAAACTCAATTTCGAAAGTGAAAAACCTAGTCTAATCACCTTCGGTCCTTTTTGCACTTAGGAACATTCAAATTGGGGGGTCGCCTTGCATTCTTAGTCATCACAACATGCTTTGGGACTAAACTCATGTAAATAAACTTGATAAACACGTTAGTCCCCTTTAACCACCTTGTCATTAATCACCAAAACCCACTAGTGGGTTTAAGTGCACCTTCAGCCAGTGGCGTAGCCAGGAATTTTTCCTTGGGTAGTCCTAGTTCGCAGGTTCACATCACATGCTTAAAGTTTCTAACACCAAAAAGCCGATACACAAGTACAAATTTAGTAAAAATGCAATAGAAATAATGCCTTGCAACATTCATAAGTGGCTTACTTAACAAGCAAGTTCTCATCCAAAATCTTAGGCATCTAAGTGAATATGTCAACCTAGCCTTATTCTCATCCGAAACATTCACTATGGTATTATCAATTGGTGCATCTTTCACAAATAAATTATATTTCTCTTGAGCTTTATTGTGTGCACTTGTTACCGCACCCACATGTTTGTCAAGTGCATTGGATTTGTTCCAATTCCTCCAACTACCCTTAAAATAATTACTACTTCCATTGCCAAACAAATACAACATACTATGCAAAACCTAGCATCCTTCGCCACATTATATTCAAGCCAACTATACTTATGAAACCAAACAAAGCAGAAGTGACGTTGCTTACCATATATATTTCTTGTGGTGGATCATCTTCGAGTACAGGAGCTTCGTCATTAATATATAGGAACTTGTGGTGGTTCCTCTTCGGGTACAGGAGCTTCATCACCAATCCTCTTTGCTTTTGCTTCATGGTTCCGAAATAACGATGCAATATATCTGCTCATCTTCATGTTTTACCAATCCTACAAACTATGGCATACATTCACTAATCAACATTCAACAACCACAATTTACAAAGTGCATACTCAATCATTCTCAGATTCAGGAATCACAAATCGATTTATGAAGCAGGAGTGGACACTGGACAGAGGAACTGAGGAAGATTTCATTACCTAAAGTAGAGCAGCCGATGAGCCGAGCAGGAGGCTGGACGGTAGCGGAGAGCCGAAGACGGGCACGGGCAGACGGGAGATGGCCGGCGGCGGCTCTGCGGCAAGCCGGCAACCGGCCGACGTCCGGCAGCGAGGCGACAGCTAGCGACATGAGGAGCGAAGGAGGACTGGAGGAGTCGTGCTGTCGTCACCTCGTCGGCCAGACAGCCCCAAACTCGGCGCGGCGCCGGCGTGGATGGCGGTCGGCGGACCCACGGGCGTCGGCGGCGGTGTGGCTCGGCACTGGGCTGCGCCGGCGTTGACGGCGGACGGCGAACGCGGACCCACGGCCATCGGCGCGGCGCAGGCGGCGGTCAGTGGCGACGTGGAGCGGGCATCGGGCACGAAGGGAGTAGCGGCTGGAGGTGGAAGCGCTCCAGCCTCCAGGCTCCCCCAACTCAACCCTAACTCTTCGTGGGCTGTTACTATTGGATTTGGGCCAAAACGGCTGGCTGGGCCTAATTTTTTCTGAGGGGTGGGGGTCTCTGGGCCAAATTCTAGGGTAGTCCCGAGCCCACCGGGACTACCCCTTGGCTACGCCCCTGCCTTCAGCTACATCACATCAACCACAAATCATTGCATTACCTAGTGCAATCAACACTAGATCTGCATCAAATCAAGTTCAAAAATAAAATAAAAATTAACTAACCATTAATGAAACCACCAGATACGCACTGTAAACACCTAAACAAAAGTCCCAAATCACAAATATAGCAAATACTTGCAAAAAAAAAAACGAGAGTAACAAAAATAACAGAAATCGACAATGAACAAAAGCAATAACAAATGGCACACTCACATGGCTTTGATCAGCGATGCATGGCTTCCTCATGCCGTCGTTTATGCAGAGGTTGCTGTCTTCACGGCCGCACTACCACTCGCGGCACTGCTCCTAGAACGTGTTCAAATCTAGAATGAAACCATCCGCCTCTGCCTCCACCTCCTCGTACTCTCATCATGGATGTTGCGGTGGCTACTGATGCCGACAACAAACGAAGGGGAAGGAAGAAGGAAGCAAAACATGAAAGAATCAACAAGGGAATAAGTACTCACCAGAGAATCTCCGTTGACAACGAGCTCCTCACCATCGAATCGTCTAGAAGTCGCTCCGGCGAAATCACCTCCCTTTCACCATGGCGACATCGCCGCTCCCCTGCCTCTCTTAGAGCTTCGACTATATATATCTCTCTCTCTCACAGTCTCGGAGTAAATGAGAAAAATCAGCAGTGGGACCAGAAAACAGGCTCAGATTTTTCAAAAAAAAAGTGAATAGTGGTTGTGGGACCCACCAAGCCCAAGAAAACAGAACCCTTCAAGCCCAGCCCAAAGAAGAAAAGAAGGATGGCCCGAACAAAAAAGTCCATCCCACAACCCCGTGAATGCACGTCTCCTCCCTCTGGCCACGCCCGGTTCAAATGCCGGCGGTGAGCAGAAAGCCAGAGACGTAACAAACTTTTCTCCCTCCGCTACGGCTACTTCTTCCTCCCCACGCCACCCCACCCCACGCAGAGAAGCCCTCGCCTCGGCGCCTCGCCACCGCGCGCGCGCCGCCTCGCCCACCAAGTGCTCGACCAAAGTTCCGCTCCGCCTCCCGCCGAGCGGCGAGCCAAGCCACGCCACGCCACGCCGAGAAGCGAGAAGCCGAGGGGTAGCTACTCGCCACCGGGCGCGCGCTCGCTCGCTCCTGCTCGCCTCGCCTCGCCACCGCGACGCGACGCGACGCTGCGCCTCGCCTCGCCACCGCACGGACATCGATCGCTCGCTCGCTCGATGATGGAGGTTTTCCGTGGTGTGGAGTTTGCGGCGCTGCGGCTCTGGCCGTGTGGCTCATTCCTCCACGCCGACGAGGACGGGAGGTCTGTCTACCACGGCAGCGTCCGCGACGGTGACGCCTGGTTGCCCAACGCGGTGTGGGCTGTCGAGGAGCTCGTCGCCGGGGCGTCCCATACGCGCTACGTGCTCCTTCGCGGCGCCTACGGCCGGTACCTCGGAGCCGGAGCCCCCGACGCCCGCGACCGCGACCAGGAGCGCTGCGCCTGCCCGCTCCCCTCCTGCCCGCTCCCCTGCTGCTCGCTCCAGGCGGCGCAGCGCGACCGAGATGATGCTGAGCCCGACGACATCATGTGGCGGCCTATCGGATGCTCCGGCACGGACATTGCCGGCAGCGTCGTCCTTCTGCAGGACAGGTCCGGGCGCTACCTGCGAGGGAACCAGGGTTTCCTGTCTCGCCACCACGGCGTCTCCGTCGACGTCAACATCGGCAACGAGATGACGTTGCGGTGGGAGGTTGTGCGCGTTCGAGTCCCCACTCGTCCGGAGCGACCGATCGTGCCTGTGAGTTCCTTCTCGTCCCCCCGGATTATTGTGTTTGTTCTGTTTCTAATACGCAATTCTACGAATTGAAGCAAATCCTTAATGTTAATTGAGCTGGGAATAAATCTTGATTTGTTGCGAATTAACAGTGTGCAACTGAATCGATCAAATTCGTTCTAATACAATTCTTGATTCTGTCTGTGCAGCACTTGCCGTGCTGGCCCCTTCTGAATAGGGAGATCCAATTCGTGACTGTCGATGACGCCGATAACTTCGGTTTCGGTTCGGTTCGATTCACTGGTCGATCGGTGGATCTCCTGAGAGAGGACCTTATGCGACGTATTGGTTACGACGACTTCACCATGTGTGTCCGGGCCGGCCGCCATGGGCGGCTCACCCCTCTGTTCATTGACCTGCCTCACAGCCGGGAGACACTGTGCATTGTTCTTATCAGGCCCAACACCCCAGGTAAGCATAGCAGCTTAGTTTGATATGCGTGTTGCTGAATTTTCTGAACATTTGTTTGTGTAGTTCGGTAAGCAGTGCACTAGATCTGTTCAGTAATGTGAATTGCCTTTGTGTTGAATTTTGTGGAAATCACTCAAGCAGTCCTGTACTCCTGTGTGTGCATGCTGAGTATGGATTGGTGATAGGAATGTGTTTAATTCCTGCAATACATTACTGCTCAAGCTTAACTAGGTAGAAATATTCATGATGTTCTGATGAGTGATGACAGTAACTGAATCTTCTGAAGCATTCAGGGCCTTCCTCTACCTTTTATTTGGGATTTTTGATGCTACCAGTTTGCAGATGCCACATGCTATGCGAAATCTAGTTAATTACTGGTGTTACTTGTTCTGCTCACTATCCCAAACCAATTGTTAAATAATAATTAAAGAACAGTTCTGTTTTTCAGGTCGTTTTCATTCAGGGCATGCCCCTGTCTTTTTGACGCGTAGCATCTGCAATTTAAATTGGCAGCGTAGTACTGTTTTTTACTATCATCTGCAAAAATCCCAAATACTGTTTTTACTTGCAAGAGTAGTACTATCACACTGACAGACTAACCAACTGCATGATTTCTTTACTATGGCTGCAGTGAATGATCGGTTGCTAACATCAATTCTGAAAGCTGAGGATGATGCTACAAAGGCTGCTGCTGTGGAGCTGCAGCACCGGCAAGAATTGCTGTGGGAGAGGGAGGAAGCGCTAAGAGTCCGGACGGAGACAGCACTTCGGCGATGGGAGGGGAGGCTTCAGGGGAGGGAAAGAGCAACCAGAGTCCGGGAGGACGCGTCGCTGCAGCGCTGGATGGAGGGTCTGGGGAGGAGGGAGCTCGCCCTGACGCAGCGAGAGGAGAGGGTGAGCGGGATGGAGGCAACACATCGAGCGGCTACCAGCAGAGATAAACCCTCTGCACCTCTACTGAAGAAGGTATGCATTTGGATCCCTTAGAAATATGTGCTAAAGTGTTTAACTGAACAGCAGCATTTGTTAGTACTAATGATTTTGAGACTCTTCACAGGAGGATAACATCTGGGAGAAAAGGCAGATGTCATTGAGTATTTCCCTTCTGACTCCATTGGCACTCCTATTCTCTGTACGGCCACTCATACCTGCTGAATATGATCATTACATTTTGATGGCCTTCATTGCCATTTGGGGATTGGGCAGCCTGGCTTTTCAATTTGGATTGTTTGGATCTAATTCTGGTGAGAAGTCCTTCAGCCGCTTCGTCTTTATTAGTTTCACTGCCCTGGTCCTATACACTCTTCACTTGGAGATGATGGAAGCGAAGGGATACTCTGCAGCACCTTTGTCACCATTGGCAGATGTCAGTAATGTCACCCTGTTCCCAGTGGTACTGGATGATCAAACTTGGACAGTGATTTTCTGGATCTACTTTGTGCTCGTGCTTTCCGGACATCTGTATGCTTGGGCTACGGTATATATCTTCGACTCTTAATTTATGCAGTTTATTTTATATTTAACTCCCTAATAATATTTGTCTACGCGCAGGCTTACATCACAGGGTCTGACAAAGATTTGGAGTAGTCCATGCCTTCACATTTTCGTGAGATGTTTGTTTTTTTCACGGCCCGAGGACAAGTGGCCCAGTAGAGGATAAGAAATCAAACAACCAATGGACCAGATGCATATATTAGTGTACTGTTGCAATTGCACCCTCTCTTGACCTTTTTTCCTGTTAGGATAAACATTCACGTCATGAAACTTGTTCTTCTTAGCAATATTATTTCACCCTTAGGTGGTGCTATTTTCCTTATATGATGATCATACTGTTGTTACGACTGGAATTGAGTAAGATGTATGCATTCAAAATACCGCGACAAGTTCATATTTGTGATATATGCTTTCAGACTTATTAAGTTTTGTTGCATGATCACTGGGTGAATTATCAAAAGCAATGCATAATAACAGAGTTCATATATGTAGGACAAGGTTATCGTGCTGTTTTGAGCCCTGCCACAAATTGAGAGAAATGGTCCACTATATATTGTTTCATGTTATTCTCATATCTCAAATGTCAATGTAAAACTCTTTGCAGTAGAATACAAAGGTTGATGCTTGAGTATTCTGTATTGCATACATATGAAAATTTAGAAATAATGTCTCACTGAATAATTCCTTTTTGTTGTGGCTGAGCAAATGGTGCATTAACTGGATACTGGTATTTTGCATCAGACGGTCACTGCATGTTCTTCTGGTCTGGCTCACTGGCTGACTGGTTTGCCTTCTTTTATGATTAATTTGATGATGTTATTTTGGGTCCCTGGGAATAAACAAGGAACGTTCTGGTTCTAATATATTTTAGAAGCTAATATACTACTCCCTCCCTTCAACGTTTGACCATTCGTTTTATTTAAAAAAAAATTATTACTATTTTTTTTTGTTATTATTAGATGATAAAATATGAATAATACATTATGTGTGACTAATTTTTTTAAAATTTTTCAAATAAGACGGACGGTCAAACGTTGAACACGGATTTTCACGGCTGCACTTATTTTGGGACAGAGGTAGTAGCGTACAAGAGGAATATACAGCAAAAGAAAAAAGAGAAAATAATCCTACACCTAAACCAATTATCAGAAAATATACAATCGTACACCTAAACCGATTTCAAACCGGTCGCCAAGCCGTCTCCAGATCGGACGAGATTGACACGTTCCAATTCGACTGGATTATGCATGGACCGGAACCGCGCGATTCCAACTCCGATTCAGTATCAAAAAATATATATATATATATATATATATATATATATATATATTACTCCGTGTGACCTTGCCGTGTATCGCCACAAAATAGAGACCGTACGCGTCGCCGCCATCACCAACACGACGTGGATCGGACGGACGGACGTCGTTCTGCAACGGTGCCGTATGGGTGGTTCGTCGTCGGAGCCGGAGTCGTCCGATCTACTGTGCAGCTTGCTCGAGGAAGGACGTCCTCGTCCTCTCCATCTTTGCAACACGGAGGTGATGGCCCCTCCCCTTCCTGCCTGGGTCATCCCTTACAGAGTAACTACTCCATCTGTTTTTTTTTTTAATTTTCCAACAGAGTTTTTTTTTTCTTCACGATGCTTTTTATAACACAATAACTTAAATAGAGTAATAATCCATTCTCCTTTTTTGTGTGTGTGTGTGTGTGCAGTGGACCTGCTTGCCCGTGTGCTTTGCCCTACTGATTGTTTTCTTCACGGTTGTGTATCCAAGAACAGGCAGGTGTAATGCCGATGGCCTTGGAAATGGAATGTTTCTATGTGCGGTTTACATGGTTTGTGCCTCTATTGTTCCGATCGTGGCTCTTGCGACTTTCACAGCTAGTCCACCCGTTAATTAGAGATGTGATAATCAGTCGGGGCCTCTAATGTGAGAGGGGCTTTTGCGTTCATTTGCACCCACTTAATTAATTTTTGTAAGTTCAGATTATGCATGTATCTGTTTATGATTATGAAGGCTAATCTGATATTTGATTTTGGTTTTGCTATAATTATGTCGCCATAAATCTTGTTAGATTACAGTCAGATTTGTATCCCCGGGATCTCCTATTAGATTCGTGCCGGAGTACTTCCGTGTCTCTGCCATAATGTATGTTCACACGCTAGTTCATAAGAATATGATTAACACCAAATTATTACATCAAAATAAGGTAATAATCATAGAAAAGGAGACGCTATATTTTTTCCTTGTAAATACATACGTAGCTTTAGAACTCACATTATAAATACACTAAAATTACATATGTAATTTTAAGACTTATATATGTAATTTTAAGATTTACAATGTAAATACACGTTGACTATTTTTTGATAAAAAATGTGGCGGCGTAAATATAGATAGACCCGACAAAATAATCCTATATGCTGGTGGACATTGTGTTCCTGACCGGAGTTTTTGGAGGAAACATGGTCACGTAATCATGAGATCTAAAATATCTCAAAATCCATCCATTGGAACCCAAAAACTTATCCCAAAATTCCTATTCAAATATCAAAATCTAAAGCTCGAATTTTCCCTCCAAATTAATTCTCCCTTATCTCCAATATCAAATTCTATCAAAATTTTCCTTGAACTCCTTTCTTTGCACCTCACTTAAAATCCTGATCCTGAGTTCAAATATTAAATTGAAACCGAATTCAAATTCATCAACATCCCTTCACACAAATTCCTGAAAAAATCTAAGATCATTGTTCACATCATCCCTTTCCTCATCCCAGCCCACGCAGCCTCCTTCCTCTTCCTCCCCTCTCACTCTCTCAAGCTCGGTCTCCCCTCTTGGAATAAGTTCACTTTAATTTGACACCTTTAATTAGTGGCCGGATCTAACTCGTATCCCTGAACCACGATACCGGATATCTTGACCACCTCAACTACTAAAACCGATGGACTTTGACTCCCTTGGCAATTTTGGAGGACGGTTTCATCGACATGACGCCTACGTGGCGGTGTTGATCTAGTCTTCGTTCCACGTGGCATTGATGTGGTTCTTATGGCATTAGAATTAAAAAATAAATACGGGACCCATTTGTCATTCGCACAAAAGATATTGTGGGAGCCACTGACATGTGAGGCCCACATGTCATCCTCTCTCCTTCTTCCTTCTTCCTCCTCCCGCTCTCTCCCCTCTCTCTCTTTCTATCCCTATTTCTCTTCCCCATTGGACGTACACGGGGAGCGGGGGCCGGATTGGTGGCGGCGATGGGTGAGGGCCAGAGACGGGCGTGGGGATGAAGGCAGTGACAGGATGGTGGACACTGTGGCGAAGAGGAAGGAGGTCGGCCGCATGAGAGGGAGCCACAGAGGAGCACTGGTCGCGATACCACCATTGTAGAGCTCCAGCCCTCACCTGCCTCCGCCATGACGCCTGTGCACCTCGCGCCTTATCCACCTGACCCTCTTCGTTGTCTGCACACACAAGCAACAACAACAACAATGGCATCACGGCCAATCCCCACGCCACAACACAAACAAGAAGCATACACGTAGAGGGTGTGCGCGTCACCTTGATGTGGTAGTAGAGCGTGTGGAATTCGATGGCGGAGGAGACGGAGATGGAGGCTGGAGCAACGGGAGAGGGGGAAGGACATGCAGACGACGACGACGACGACATGGAGGTGGCGAGGCGGAGTGGGAGGGGGTGGTGGACACTCCAGTGCCCGCCTCGCGCCGGCCGTTGCCACTTCGGTCCCCGCCAGACGCCACCGCCACCGCCGCCCTCGCCCTCACGCAGTCGTTGCCGCTCCAGCGCTCGTCGCCGCTCCAACCCTCGCTCGCATGCCACCGTCGTTGCTCCAGCGCCTGCCACTGCCACTCTGGCCCCCGCCAGCTGCAACCGCCGCTCCAGCAGCATCCGCTCGTTGTCCTTTTTGCTCCTCCGATGAAGATGTGGAGCACCTCTTCCTACGCTACACCGGAGTGGCAACAATCTGGCACGCCTTTGGCTTGGACGAACAACAAATCGCCTCCCTGCCGCAGCTTGAAGGTGTCTGGGACATTCCTCCGCCGGGACAACCCGCCACTCCAAGAGTCTGGCACACCATCCTGCTTGCCGTCATGTGGAATATTTGGAAACGCCGCAACAACAAGGTCTTCAATTCCGTTGACGATCCTGCCTCGTTAGTTCTCCAACGTTGTGCTAGTGACATTGACCTTTGTTCCCACCGATGTAAAAATGCTGAGAGCAAGCAACAGCTCCGCAACTGGGCCTCCTACCTCTATGTAATTATCTCTTAATTTATTTTCCCCTTCTCACCCCCTGTAACACCTCTCCTGTAAATGTTTCTTCATTTCAATAAAAAGTTTAGGCTAGTACTTTAAACACCCGCAGTAGTTTCCCTCAAAAAGAAAATCCCTTGTGTACCCATAAAAACTCACCTAATCCCTTACATACCCTCGAATTTTACTCAATCCTCTCTGTACCCCCAAATTTTTCACTTTGATTCCTTCCATGCCCCTCCCATTAGGTTTCCGTTTGATCCGTGACTTAATCTGTTTGTTACATTGTCAGTATTTTCAAAAAAAATACCAAAATGCCCCTGGCAATCCTAGCAAATAAGATCGAATCCAATCCCTTCTCTTCTCCCCATCCTCTCCACGCGCTGGCACGAGGCGCGCCGCCGGCCCATCCCCTCCCGTCGAGAGCGCCGCCGGCCACCGGCCTCCCGTCGCGCTCGCCGCCGGCCCATCCCATCCTGTCGAGAGCGCCGCCGGTCACTGCCATCTCATCGTGCGCGCCACCGGCTACTGTCCTCCCGTTGCACACGCCACTTGCGATGCCCATCCTGTCGCGTGCAGGCGGCGTGCGGTGGGGCGTCGCCGGCCACTGCCCTCCCGTCGCGTTGGCCGGCGTCCAAGGCGCGGGGGCCGCCGTCCACGGCCCTCCGTCGTGGACTCCACTGGCCACTGTCCTCCCGTCGTGCTGCCGAAGTTTGCTGCCCTCGCTTCGCGGGCGCCGCCGGCCACGGCCCTCCTGTCGCTGCGCCACCCATCATCGGACCCAGCACTGCCCTAGTGGTAGGTTAGTTCTTCATTTCTTCTTCTTGCCCAGGAACCTAATTTGGTTTGTCGATTTGCAACATCTATGTATGGAATGGAAAGTTGGTTTGGTTCCTGCAGGCATGGAAATGAAATTCTGGTGTGTGCATGATATGAATTACAGTATTCTGTATGGATGATGGAAATGAAATTGATATGAAGTGCTCTGTGAATGATGATGTATGATGTTCCTGATGCTCTTATTGACCTAATTGTATTTTGTTTCACAAATTTCTGCATGGATGCTCTTCTCATTTCATTCCTATCAAGTGGTGCTATTAATGGTCCTAATATTTTTGGATGCTCCTGATGTTTTGCAATGTATTTTCTCCTTTGTCCACAGCAAGTTTTGCACTCCTGCTAACTGTACCAATTTTTTTTTTACAGTGGAAACTGATGTCACTTTGATTTTCTAACACTATTATTTTTTTTCAAAATAAAAAGTTTAATGTATTGTATTTTCTTCAATACCATGATAAAATTCTTAAACTCATTATTTAGTCTCATAGCATACATATATTGTGCAGTCAACATTTTTCAATTATTTTCCAATCTACTTGGTGCTCCTCCATCTACAAGAGTATTATGGATATTTGCAACCACAGTTAGCTGGAAAATGAAGGAAACATAATGGGGGGAGGGGCATGGAAGGAATCAAAGCGAAAATTCAAGGGTACAGAGAGGATCGAGTAAAATTCAAGGGTATAAAAGGGATTGAGTGAGTTTTCATGGGTACATAAGGGATTTTCTCTATAAGCTAAGTTGATAGCGACACACCTGAGGATAACTTTTTCTTTGGTTTGATGCTACAACTTTCAGCAAATACATACATAATTGGCACTACAATTAAGTGCGTGCAGCTGAAACGGTTAGGGAGGAACTGTAAGAGCAAGTTTAATAGTATAGCCAACTACTAGCTCCAATTCATATATAGTCAATCTAATAGCTCATTCATATAATAGTTACATACTACACTATTAATACATGGTCCCACCTATCATACACACACCGCGTCTTGGAGTCCGTGCTACAGCTGACTACAAATCTGTAGCCCGCTGGCCTTCTCTCTCCTCATTTATCTCCTTAAAATATGTTTACAGCTGGCTTATAGCCTGCTATTGTATCTGCTCTTAGGAGTTTATGCAAGTGAAACACACTTTTATAAGATAATGATTAAGATGGCATTGAAGTAGTACGAGCAAGTTTAATAATATAGCCCACTACTAGCTCTAAAATTTAAAACATCATCTATAGTCAATCTAATAGCTCATTCATACAATACTTAGCTATAAAAATACACTGCATCATTAATGTATAATCCACATATCTCTCTCACATACTTTATTGGAGCTCGTGCTGCAGCTGGTTACAAATCTGTAGCCCGCTTTTGTTCTCTCTCCTCTCCTCTCTCCTTCACACAAGCACAAATCTGATGTGGCAACTTATATAGCCCGCTTAGGGCACCCGCAATGGTTATCTATAGGCTCTCTACAAGAGATCCATGTCAGCATATTTTCCTACTTGGAAGAGATTAAATGAAGAGAGAGAGGAAAGCTATCTACTAACCTGGAGATAGTCTATAGAGAAAAACGAGGCAATGGATTAGAGAGCTATAGATACCCATGTAGACATACCATTGAAGTGGTTTACTATTAATCTAGTCTATTGCTGAGATGTACATGTTTTATAGATAGCACCTTACTTTACCATTGTGGGTGCTCTTACGTTACCTTATTGTATTTGCTCTGAAATCTAATACATTGGATGTGCAACCAACCTTTTAACCTCAACTTTTAATGCGTGCTAGTATTTTACTATGATTGAAAGCGATAATAAACAATGTATATCTCATTTCGGATTCCCATGCATGCACTTGCGTTTACATTACTCAGAGCATGCGCAATGTGGAATTTAGAGAGATTCTATAGGAGAGAGACAAATAGGATCGGTCCTACACGTATGGGTGATTTTTTTCGCTGATCCTAAAGTACAACCGGGCACTAGTCTTGATGCCCAACTCTTAACTGCTCCTAAGGTAGAACCGGGCGCTAGTCTTGATGCCCAACTCTATCGAGAAAGAGTCTCTGTCCCACCTATCATAGGCAGTCATCTACACAAACTTTATTTTAGGCAAAATTTGCTATAGGGCATCGAAAAAACGTGTAATTAGTTTGTGGACACCGCAAGAACAAGAATTTGCTAACGGGCATCACAAAAAACGTGTAATTAGCTCCTGGACACTCGGGGCCTTATTTTATTATTTCTCGTGAATTTGGAGAGAGAAACACTAAATAAAAACAAGTTTGCCCTTGGTCTCGACCTGGATAGCGACAAAGCATTGGGTTGGCCGGCGGCGGCGACAAAGCCGAACACGTGCAGCGCTTGTGTTCTGTCCCTGTGACGGGTCCGAGTGGCGGCGACCATCGCCGGGATGCTCCGTGTTGTGGCCGGCGTGCGTGGGCTCGTCGCCGCCGATGACCCCTTTGGTGTGGAGCTAACGGACGTGTTGACTGACGACACCGACACCGATGACAATGCGCTTGTGTTATGTCCCTGTGATGGGTCTGAGCGGCGGCGGCCATCGCTGGGATGCTCCGTGCTGTGGCCGGCGTGCGTGGGCTCGCCGCCGACGACCCCTTTGGCGTGGAGCTAATGCACGTGTTGATTGACGACACTGACATCGACGACAATGTCCGGCGACTGGAGAACACGGTGCCCGGCGCGTGGGCGACGGTGGAGAGTTGTGATGTCGCGGAGCTGCTCCTCGCCAGCCTCGATGCCGGTGTCCCGTTCTCCTGCCGTGTCAATGGCAGCTGCTTCGCAATTGCAAGGGAGAGGATCAAACAACAATTTACATATAGAGATGGAGAGATCACAAAAAAAAGGAGGGGAAATTTTGATCGGGAGGGAGAGAGCACATGCACATACTCGTGAATTCCCTTTCGCATATGGCGCTGAGCTAGCTCTTTCCAGCTGGCTCGGCGGCGTGACGGCGTGGCGGTGCTCGTCGCCAGCGACCAGAGTGCTTCTCGGTTCCCGTCGACAAGAGCATGCCTCCTCCTCGACCACGGCCACGGGCCGGAGCAGCTCCACCTGCATCAGCCCGCGGCGGCCACCGGCGGAGCTCGTCGGCTTCACGGACTTCCACGCGCGGTCGATGCGCAGCATCTTGAGCTCCACGGCCTCCTCCTTCCTGTCGTCCTTGTCACTGTTGTCTTCCTCGTCTTCCAGCTCGGCGGCGCAGATGGGGGGAAGGCAGCGGTGCGCGCGTGCGTCGGTTGCTGCCGGCGGCGGCGGCGGCCTGCGCACCATTGGCTGGCGGCGGTGGCGCGGATGTGCATGCGATGTCATGCGTTGGCGGCCTACGTGGGCGCGGCAGCGGGCGGCGCAGAGCGGGCTCGCCTTTCTCCCCCTCTGCCCAACGCGCTCGTCGCGCCGCCGCCGCGCGGAGGAGGTGGCAGCGGTGCTCTGGCCGGTGTGAGGGCAGGGGCAAAATCGTACTCTCACCAGTGTTTCTCTCTCCAAGTTCATAGGAAATATTAAAATAAGGCCTCGAGTGTCCAGGAGCTAATTACACGTTTTTTCGATGTCCTGTAGCAAATTTTGCCTTTCTTTTATTAACCTTGATGGGTCCCACTCATAGCACTTCTGATGATGCCTATACATTACAAAAATTTTCACCAGATGCTATCCGATCCGTGCTGTGGGGCCCGCCATATGAGCCCCTTCCTGCACTATACATTACAGATGCTCTTAGAGCAAGGTCAATAATATAACCTGCTGTCAGCTCCAACAAATAGCCATGTCATCTATAGTAAAAAGTGTAGCTAATGTGTACAATAGAAATAGTATAGCACTAATATTTTATTATCTTAATGGACCCACCATCTTCTCTAATCTCCCTCTTTCTCCCTCCCCTCCTTCCCTTTTAGTGGGTCTGTTTTCTTGGAGCGCGTGGGTAGCCGGCGCTTATTTAGTCGCTTGCTCTCGTTCTCTCTCTTCCGTTTTCTCCTCGAGCAAATCGTTAGAGCTGACGTGTAGTTTTTATCGCCGGTTCTGGAGCCCTATTGTACCTGCTTTTAGGCGATCAGACAGTCATGGTATGAAGATTTAAAAGTCATATTCGTCAGCGCACAACGAACCGACGATGCCGCAAGGGAGGAGGCTGCCGCTTCCTCACGGTGGCTGCGGCGCACTAGGTCGAGGTAGGGCTCGGTTTCCTCGCATCTTGCAACATGTTTTGTCCATCTTATTTAGTACTCCTTTCGATGATCCAGTATGAAAATCATCCAAAGCTTTCAAGACGTCCCTGAGGATTACGACCATTGGGCGCCCGGATCAAGACGTCTTCAAAACAGGCTTTACCAAAGGCATCGCGCCGCCGTGCCACCGGCCACGCCGCCACACGGCGTTGCCGAGAGCCGCGACTACCGCGCGTGCTGCTATGCACCGCCGCCGGCCGCGCCCCGCACGGCGCCGCCACCCGCCACTGTGATCACCGCGAGCCGCCGCCAGTGTGATCACTCTAACATTGGTCATTCATATGTGAGCCCATAGACTATAGGATTCACATGTTAGCCTCTCAAAGTCTATTTATGGTATCATCCTGTATTATAGGAGTAGAAACCATGCATGTCTTCTTAAACTTTTTTTTTTCACAACTTAACTGGCTCTTCTATTTATTTTCCTCACATTTATTTTTTTTAGAGCACACGTGTATTTTACGTATTTTTGCTACTGTTATGTTATCAAAGGTAGGATAGGCTATGCAATTATTTAAGTGCTTATAAGAAAATTTCCAATAAAAACGAGAAAAAAAACCCCCCCTAAATAAGTCGCATAAAGCTAGTGCGCAACCCTCCATAGCGAGCGGTTCATCGCCGCGGCACAAAATGCTCCGCCGCAGCCGCCACTTCCTCCCACCCAGACCCCGCCGCCGGCCGAGACCTCGCCGCGAGGCCCCCGCCGCCGAGCCGCCCACCCCGACCTACACCCGCGACGTCGTCCGCCGCGTCGACGCCATCCTCCGCGGCCACCCCTGGTCGGCGGCGCGGCCGCTCCTCCTCTCCCTCCCGGGCCTCGCCTGGGACTCCCACACCGTCGCGCGCGTCCTCAAGGCGCACCCGCCTCTCCACAAGGCCTTCCTCTTCTTCCGCCTCGCCGCCGGCGCAGGCGGCGGGTTCCGCCACGACCGCTTCACCTACACCTCCATGCTCCACCTCCTCGGCGAGGCCGGCCGCGTGCCGGCCATGATGCGCCTCCTCGCCGAGATGCTCCGCGCGGGGGTGGACCCCGACGCCGCCACCTTCACCACGGTCATGCACTGGCTGGCGCACGCCGGGGACGTCGACGCCGCGATGCGGGTGTGGGAGGAGATGCGCGCGCGGAAGGGGAAGTGTCGGCCCACCCTCGTGAGCTACACGGCGTGCGTGAAGATCCTGTTCGACGCCGGGAGGCCTGCGGAGGCCAGGGAGGTGTTCCAGGAGATGGTGGCCGAGGGACTGCGGCCCAGCTGCAAGACGTACACGGTGCTCATCGAGCATCTCGCGAACGTAGGTGAGGTGTTCGACCAAATGCCTACCATGTTGTTTGTTACCTCTACGTTCTGTACTGCACTCTCGTTGTGAGCTGTTGATCTGTTGTTCGATGAAATGCCTGAATGGTATGGAAGATCCAATGGTTGGTTTGCTCGATGAACATAGCTTGGTGTTGGTCGGTTGCTTAGTTTTTGCACTCTAATTTCTTCAACGGATTGCTAAATGGCATGCAATTAGAATATGCCATCCATTAGAGTACAGTGGGAATCTCAGCTTGTGTAGACATGTTAGTGCTTAAATTAAGCACAATTAAAGTTCACCATCTATTGGCTAGTAAGATTAATCTATTGCATTCATTGGCCTTCAGAATATCCCTTTTATAACAAACTGTCTTGTAAGCATACCCAATATCTATCTCTTTTTAGATGTACTCAATATCTATCTGAAGTTCTTCATTCATTGAGTCATTTGTGCTCAACTTCCTGTGAAGAAAAGATTGAACAATTGTTAGCATTCTGGAATACTCTGTACATAGGTAGGCAAATCCAGTCTAGGCTGCAAAAGTTTCTTAGCTTACTGAAGTGCAGTAAACAATCTCAAAATCCTTGTCACCATTGTATGAACTCCACTCTACAGCTGCTGCAACTTAACACGAGTACTGGCCGATGTAAGAGGTGCTAGTTGGGCAAGCAAGGTGGCTGCCTAGGCAGGATAAATTGGCTTGGCAGTTATGATACATCACATATTTGATTAATGTTTTCACTTCTAATTTGCACTGCATTAAGTTATAATATTTGTACCATCATATCCTAACACAAATCTAATTTACTTCAGGGAAATTTGAAGCTACTATGGAAATTATGGACAAGATGCAAGAAGCTGGTGTAGAACCAGATAAAGCACTCTGTAATATTCTAGTTCAGAAATGCTCCAGGGCTGGTGAGACATCAGTGATGACCCGAATTCTTCAATACATGAAGGAAAATTTCATCGTGCTTCGCCGACCTATATTTTTGGAAGCACTTGAAGCTCTAAAAGCTAATGGTGAGAGTGACAATCTTCTTCGGGAAGTGAATCCGCATCTTGCATTTGAAGGCATCGAATGTGACCCAGCATTTACTGATCTAGGCTACATTACTGTCAGGAGTACGATCCTGTACCTTTTGGCTTCTAGAAACTGGTCCGCCGTAGAACACATGATAAATGAAATGACCCCCAAGAATATCAAGGTTGAATCACATATCCTCTCTGACATTATTCAAGCAAGCTGTGCAAACTGCAGACCATCATGTGGGCTTGCAGTTCTGCGTTACAGTCTAAGAATAGGCAATGAACTTGATAGATCTGCATATGGCAGCCTTCTTGGTCATTACATCAGAAATGGTTCATTCGATTTGGTGTTTGAGATCGTTGAAATATTGATTAAATCTGGCTGCAATCTTGGGACATATCTATCATCTATATTAATAATAAAACTGGCTTGTGCTGGGCATTCTTCAACCGCAGTGCGCATTTTTGGATTATTGACTACAGACAAGAATGTTGTTACGTACACTGCCCTTATGAGTGCCTATTTTCAAGATGGGAAAGTTGATAAGGCTCTCCAACTATTCTTGCAAATGAGTGCTAATGGAGTATCTGCATGCCCAGGTACATATGAAGTACTGATACATGGATTACAAATGGCTGGGCGGAAACAGGAATCTGAACATTACCGAAGAGAGAGAATGGAGATGCAATGGCATCTTCAGTATCGCAATGAGCATTCCCCTGAAGATAGCTTATGTAACCATCTGTTTTGTGATTTTCATGGTTAGAAGATGGTCCAAAATCTTCATCTTTCATTAGCTGAATCCTTCCAGCACCTATTGCTGCCTGAACATGATGATATTGACACACAGGTCTGTTGGTATTTTTAATTTTATTTAATATATACCTAAACATGGAACTGTAAATGATTTGGTTAATCTTTACTCTGTACTTGGTAGGACTGCTGCCCCAAGGATGGTAACATTTAAATTGAAAAAAAGAAGTGCAAAAGCATCTATATGATTTGAGAACCTTGAAAGCTGAAACTGATTATCGTGATGTTATCAATTGCTATTTGAAACGGGGAAAATCCATTGGAGTAGGGCAGTTGAAGTGTTTACCAGAAACATTGATTGTGATGGTAATTTATAGATGACTCTGAGCAGTTGGAAGTCTCCAAAAGACTGATTGTAAAGAAACATCTTATTCAAACAACTTAATTCGAGAGCTTGGAAGTTTTTAAAAAAAATCAAGTGTAAGGCAAACTCTATCTTTTTTGCGTAGACTTTCCTAGCCTCTTCCTTTTGTTGAAGACACTTCTAATTACTGCAATATAAAGATAGGGCCCGCAGTTTTATACAGTGAAAAACAAGGAGCTCAATAGTTTTTTGGAGAGTTCTGTTTTATTTCATCTGTTAATACTTATTACAATCAATTTGCTGCGAATTCTGGGACACTTACTAACGAGTTTAAAAAAAATAGTTAAATACCCTGTTCAGTTTAGTTGCCTTTTTGCGTTCACCAAAATTCCTTAAGTATTTCCGAACTTATTTTAAGAAAGCGGTCCATTGGAGATCAACTGCTTCAGTACAACTTAAATGATATGGATGAAGACATGTCATAAAGAAACTTCCGTTGGCAGGAACCACAATTGAAGAGTTATTACACAATTTTGTAACTTTGTTTTGCACAAGCTGGAATTCTAAGTTAGATAAACTTCTAGTTTACATTTTTTTTAAGGTTGAGAAGCAACTTGTTTTGTAGTGTTGTATTGATGCATGCGGTTGTTGTGTTAAGTAGTTGTTTCTTATTCATGTCGTGACAAACTATTTGCATGTTCATATCTATTGTAAGTTCTATTTTAGGAAAAAAAGTGCAGGGTGCAGGGTGGCATCAATGCTCCAAATATGGTAGCAGTGTAACTTGCTTAGTTAATTCGAGCTGTTAATTAGGGTTTACTTTTTAGTCACTAAGGTGCATATCATTTATGAAACAGTCTTCCCTTTTATGCTTTACATTGTTGACTATTTAGAATTCTTGCAGTCTAGTGTTCTCTTTGTATCTATCAACCAACTCAACTATTCAAGGCAACTCATCAAGCTTTAGTCCTTTTTAAGGATTATGCAAAGTTTGCTGTATTGTTTTCTCATGTTGTCCGCTTTTTGGTATTCTCAGTAACTCATAATGAGGTCTGGACCGTTCATTCGGTACACAAAATCAAGTACTGGCTACATACTATCCACCAGTTTTTGTGCTTTTGAGAGCATATTATTGATGAATTACTGCATTGTAGATGAATATGTCAAGGTATAGCTCCAATCTTTAAGGACCGCAATACAATTCTGTGAAATTTGTGCTGAGTGATTAATTTGATTCATCTTATTGTTTGCAGATGTCATTAAATTATGGAGTCCATCTAGGATCACCATTATGTAACACAAATGCTCTTTCTGAGGTGGGTTTGTTTAGTAATTAGTAGTTGTCTTACTCAATGCAGATTGCATACACAGAGTGATAGCAGTTTATTTTGTCTAGTAATCATCAGAGTTGTTGAAAAATTTATGCTGATGGTTTTACCTTCTAAAAGCAGCATCTTCACGAGCATGACTGCACAAGCTGCTACACGGGCTGTTCACTTTTCCATTTCAATGTATTGCTGTTGTCATTCATCAGTAGACAACTTCTAAAGGTGCACATGGTGAAGACTAGTGCTGCCACTTTTATCAAACCTTTACTCAGCAGCCCCTATACAAACTCTCTATTGCTCTTGGCTGCTATTGCAAAAAGGTTTCACGAAACTTGAACTGGGGCAGGGTAATTTACTATCCTGTTCAGCATTCTCCTGCACCTTTTCTGAATAGTTATCTACAGGTATGTTATATGAATGGCTCAAATTCTTCATAAACAGAGAAACTAGTTACCAATGTCAACATGTCATGGAAGCTGAGTTATCCTCAAAAAGCTCCAACAGCAATTTTAGTTTTTGCTGGGTAGACATGCCCATGAAATGGTGATAAACGATTGGGTAAATATGAGAAGCTGATTTATAATTTGTCATGTCAATTCACATCCAGTCAGCAGGAGATAACTGAGCTAGAGGTTGCAAGATCCTTTGCCAGCATACTGCATATCTACATCACAGGGAGCTAACATAAAGACGATGAACCAAGAGAGTTCTAGTTGTGCATTAATCTAGCCATCCAAATCTAAGCAGCCTCATGCACATATATTACATAGCATGGCCAACATTGACCAAACATGTTGCATCCTATCTTGAATCTGTTAGTTGAAGACAACCAGTTCTCTCCATCAGGCCACTTTCACGTTTGTCTTCAGCCTCTTTGCAGCCTGCACGAAACCAACGATGACCTGCAACTCATCCAATTGCTTAAACATGGCAATTGGGATTCACAAGAGACGACCAAGATGTCAATCAAGCATGGTTATGCAAAGCTGCTGTGTAGAAATTGGAGAGAGATGAGTCTTGTTTATCAACCTGCGACACAAAGTGCCTCTGGACAGCATCCACTAACTGCTCCCTGGATGGGTTAGGGCTAGCATCCTGTTCAGCACGTAGTCAGAACACCATTTTCATGGTATATTTTTATTCAACTGGTGGAGCTTGATCTGGGAATGATTACTTACGAGATTGAAGTGACGCCAATATCTCCATAATGCAGTCATTTCCAGCTTGCTCAGGTCAACTTTCTGCAAATTTCACAGTCAAAGCTTCAGCTACGACCACCACATCATCATGGAGAACACATAATGTTACAGCTAACAGTAGGGATTTAGTCCAAATACTACAAAGGTTGTGACAGAGCAAAGTTACAGTGACACTGACACATATTACTGGAAAGTGATTGGGGTGCTACAAGCAATGGTTGTTACAAGCACAGAAACCAAGGAAGCAAAAGTCGCACCGTGTGAGCCCTTGAGGAGGAAGAAAATGACGCCTTGGAGTGGGAATCACAAGACATGGAGCGGCTGAAGGATTTGGTCTGGAACCCTCTATGCTGCCTGCTCCTTGACCTCTGTGGCTTTGGTGATTGTGCGTCATCGGATGCTGCAAGAATGGGATTAAACAAGACCAACTATTTACAAACGAGACGCATGCAACCAAATCGAAGGACATAATTAGGTGCCACGAAAACCGTGCCATTATTTTAAGTTCGGTTTTCACAAGCTAAATTGGTCCGTGACACAGACGGCGTTCGGGCTAATTCTAGGGGCTAATTGCTCTTTACAGAAAATTATGGTGTCGTGCATCAGGTAAACTGTCTTTTTTGGTCCTTCCCCACAAGATAGAACAAAGTATACGACATTATTATTCATAGATCGGCAGAATTTTATCATGCGAACAAAATACGAAAGCATTGAGAAGATCAGCATTTAGTATGAAGTTCATGGGGAACATTGCTGATGAAGCAAGAACATCTGTGTGGGATGAATATGATCTTACCCAGATCTGAACTATTCCACTGCATGTTCTCACAGTCAAACTTATCATCATCCTCATTGCCAGTTGGAGGTTCAATCACACTTAAAGCATTCCTTTGCAGCTTTACCTCTATGCCATTGGTAAGCACCTAGCACAACAAGCCAATAATATCATTTTTATTTGAAGTCAAGCAAAAATTGTAGGCAAACAATCACCTGAAAGAAAATTAAACCCTTGCACTGAGCAATGCATATCCTGTTTAAGATCGAAACCTAAGATCTGATATATCCATTCCAAAGAATAATACCCTGTCAGGGCAGTGTTCTACAAAAAAGTTACAATGCAAAAAGGTAATGCATAAGGCTGCCTACAGGAACAGGTGCCCCATCCTTGAATCGCTTAGGTCGCATAAGCACTACATGGTGAGGTGACTGCACGGTAACCGCATACTGGTAAACCTTGATGCAGGGATGATTTTTAGTTTGTAGCTTAATGAATTAACACTTTTTCTTTGTTTTGTGAAAAAAATTCGGGAAGGTGAGGTTTCAGGTGGTGATTCCCTTGGGTAGTTGAAAGATTTGGTTGAAAACTGAAATAAATCCTAATGGTTCAACAAAATTCTGCACAATACGAAATCGCCTTAAAAGTGTGATTCCCCCTATATGTGGTCATCTCATTTCAATGTTCAATCTATCTGCTGTTGCAAGGAGTGCACATCCAAAAGACACTGGGACCAACCAAGAGAACAGCAGCCATATAATGCAGCTACATCAGCCCAACATGACCTTATTTTGGTATGATTGTTTAGATAAGACATTTGTGCAAGAATAGCGGAAGATTATAAAAACCAGTTATTAGTAACAACAAACCAATAAGATAGTAACAGAGAGAAGCACATATTGCCAAACCCAACATGACCCCAAAAATAATCACATTAGGTGGAACGTCCAAATCGTGTAATATCTAAATATCCAAACACATCTGATGGGTATCCTCTGCCAGTGTTGCATTCTTGTTAGCCTCGCTCTATGAGAATGGGACTAAGAATCAGATAAGCACTTCACAGGAAAACAGGGGAACATATGATTTTGGATCTACTTGCTTAGTGGGACCAAACACAATTCATAATAATATTTCTAAGCACATCACATGAAATCAGTAAAACCATTATTTTGGATCCACATAACACTCGCAACCATATCATTGTGGGACCAAAGACCAAAATCTTGATCATATTTGTCACACAAAAAACCTATCTTGTAATTTGAACTAGACAAATTGGAGCACAATGGATGCTTGAAACATTACCCCATTAGCATCTTCTTTCCATCAACAAGACACAATGATCCATTTGGAAGACATGCAGATATTCCCAAGAATATCCTCACAAGTTCCATGTAACGGTGGGAACCATACAGCATTTCTACCCATACAACTGACAAGCTGGAACACTGATTGCATTTTCACCCATACCAACAATGCAGCTCACTTCAAATTTCGTTTAAAAACTAGCACTGATTGCAATCGGATTTGAATCTAGATACTCCAGATCCAACCTTATCAAGCAATCTTGGTCAACAACTTCCACGACTGATGCTGACAGCCTAATTGAAATACAGATCAAGAGCAGTGGGAGAATAAAAAACTGATTCCCAGTGCAATCAGGACCACAACCAAACAGTGAACAAACAGGATCTAAATTTCGATCTAGAATACATTACAAAAACTGGAAGATAAAATTCAACTGAATAAAACCCCAAGACTGATACATCTAGCCAAGAATTCTTACTTGGAACCCTAGATGCACAACAAGATCTAGAGCCAGCCAAGTCTAGACCAATCAAAACCACTGCATTGCTCAATCAGCAAGCAAACAAATCATGAAACATCAGTATAGCAGCAATTCGATCCTGAATTAATGAGATCAAAACAGGACCAATCCAAATTGCAAGAGATTAATCCGGATTAGCAAAAATTAAGCTAAACCCCCAAAAGCAGAACCACTCACTAAAGCATCCAATTGGCGCACCAAAACCCAAAAAAAAAAAAACAATCGAAAAAGCAAATTCACATTGTATCAAATCAAATCAAGATCTGCGAAATCGAAATTAAAGCAATTGCGAGTGGGGCAGAGCGAAATTACCAGCCAATGCCATCCCCCGAGCCCGACGGCCTTCTTGACGACGCCATGGAGGCCAACGAGCACCGACTTGGTGCGGTTGTTGCCGGTGACCACCACCTTGGTATGCCGCGGTAGCACGGACATCTCGTCCTCCCCCCATCCCTCCGGTCCCCGGCCGACCGCCGCAATCATCTCCCCGGCCGGATCGATCGCCTCCACCTCCAAATTACTCCCCAATTGGCACCAGATTGGCCCCCAATTTCCCCTGTTTCTTGCAGGGACAGTTGGCCAAATTCTTGATCCGAGAAATTCCCCAAAATTCACGCCGGGATCGCACCAATCTGGAGAATGTACTTCCCAAGAATCAGAGATCAAGCATTGGGGACCCAAGATTCGCTCCAATTCCCCCTCAATTCGCCCATCCTCGCCATACCGCAAGAAGCCGAATCTTGATCACAACAATCCCCAATAACCACACAGAACCGCACCGATCCTGAAACCCCTCCTGCTCCAGCGACGAGATCGGCCCAACCAGCACCCACAATTCCCCCAACAATTCGACAACAAACCCCTGCACAAAGCAAGAACACAACACCAATTCCCGATCAGAGAAAAGCCAAAAAAAAAAAACGCAGCCAACAAAAACCCCCCACCAAGAACGCAATGCCAATCCAGGACAAGAAACCCCCACCCTCACAATCCGGAGATCGCGCCAATGCGGCGCCCGAGCCCGCGCGAATTGGAGAAGAGAGAGATAGAATCCGCAGGGAATGGGAGCGGCGAGCAGAGCAGAGTGGAGCAGTAGAAGAGTAGTAGTAGCAGAGAGAGTGTATGTGTGACTTTTGCTGCTTTCGTTTTCCTTGTGCCGGTAGTACTACTACTACTCTGGCCCTGCCTGCTATGAATCCCGGGGCAGCAGGCGCGGGCCAATGAGGGGAGGACGCGTGGCTAACGGCGGCCGTCTGGGTGTGACGGAGCGGGGTGGTCGGGGCGAAATGACAGGGTTGCCCTTGGGGTGTTTTTTTCCTTTTTTTTTTTTCCTTGGCTTCGTGGGTTCGAATGGTTTTGAATTTTGGACCCGGGTAGAGGGCGGGGGTGGTGCTCGGGGTGTCGACCGGGTTTTGGTCTGTGCTTTTTGATTGTTTGCTTTGGCTCTTTGCGCGGTTGTTCGCTGTTGGACCGGGTTTTTGGCGGCTCCGCTGGATTTGATGTGATCATGCGAAAGTCAAAACAGCCAAAACATGGAGTGTATTTCACTTGAAACCTCCTTTGCTGATGGTCTGATTGGGAGTTCGAAGGATGTCTGTTTATGCTTATGCATGATACTACTAGCATGAAACCGTCTAGACTCTATGAAACATAAGGGCTTTCGTAGTGTGCATGGCTGTAGTTCAACCCCAGCCTCCCACATCAGAGATTTCACGCCACGTACATCTCTCCCGTTGCCAAGTGAAGAACGTGGAGCCCAAGTGAGATGTGTTCCTCATCAGAATTCGTCTGGGTGGCACAAGGAACGGCTCGTGCTACATGTTGGGAGAGGCATAGCCTCCTGAGACGCCCCTACACCCTGTGAAAAATGGTGACGATGAGCTGATTCGAGGTAGTGGTGGTCATCCCAAGCTGATCCACACGTGGTCCTCATCGGCGAGGCCACCACCCTGAGCTGCTTTGTTGTCCCCAAAGCGGTGGCGCTAGCCAGATCATGTGATCCTGAAGCCAAATCAGGAGAGCTTCGATGGAGCGGCAGCGACGTCCTCGGTAGAGGCGCAGGTGAGGAGAAGGGAAGATGGCAACGACAGAGGATCTGGCATTTAGGACCTCATTGTCATCCCCGCTCCACGCTGCCAAGCCATTCGTCGTCCCCAGCTCTAAGCCACCGAGCCCCTCGTCATCCCCCGAAACACTCGTTATCGCCCACCACTCCAAGCCACCTCACCCCCATCCGTAGCAGCACCTTCCTTGCCACACCACCAAAGCTGCCTCAACCTTGTTGCTTCGGTTTGTCTGTATCGATCTGCTCTACACCCGCTCGGTTCGAGGCACCGCTGTGATGAGGGTAGAGGTGGCCGCGTCAGGGAGCTTGTAGGGAGTGACCGCGACGTGATGCGAGGGGAGGAAGAGTGACCGTGCCATTGGTGTCGCTGTCGTCTCCCGCTCCATGCTGTCGAGCTCATCATAATCCATTGCTCCCACGCCGCCGAGCTCATCGGCGCACCGGCCAGGGGAGGAGGGCCACCAAAAGCTAAGGAGATGAGGACCGTTTGCCGTGGGAGGAGGAGAGGAGAGACAGTATCGTCGCCGTGGGAACCAAGAGTGAGGGAGAGGATGAGGGAGAGAGGTGAAAGAGGGGATTTTTTTTTCTGGATTCTAGTGTGCTCAGTTTAAAATTTTGCACTTCCACATAAATTGAAAAAATATATGAGAACTAGAATAGTACCAGGTGCTAAAAAAATCAATGCCAGCCACTTGCATTGTGAGAAAATTAGGTTTTAGAGTTGTGGCCCTAGGCACTCTGAGACCCCTCATATGAGTGTCCTAAGATATAGCCAGCTATAGACATTTTAAAGAGATAAAAGAAGAGAGAGAAAAGCAGCGGGCTACAGATCTATAGTCAGCTACAGCACGGACTTCAAGACGTAATGTGTGTATGACAGGTGAGACCATGCATTAATAGTATAGTAAGCAACTATTGTATGAATTGGCTATTACATTGGCTACAAATGATTTGGAGTTCGTAGTGGGCTATACTATTAAACTTGCTCTAATATAGTCACACGCAAAACTAGTAAGATTTGATCGGGTTTTCGTATAGATTTTGTACAACACAATTTATTTTGCGTAGCCCATTATAAATTGTGCAGTGTTCGGCTTCAGTTCTTGGATGAAAAATTACTAGCTAGGCTTTGTAAAGGGCCTAATTGTAATTATTAATTTGATTTCTTTTCATGTTTGCTGCATCAATGGGATGAAAACGGTCGGAAACGATATCACTTATATGGAAATGGTTCTTGGTCGGTTAGGATATTTCATGTTTATCAATTTTAACTATTTAGCATTGACTTCAATATGAGGCAGACAAAAATTGGAAAAATCAAACTTTATGTACACCTGAAAACGAAAACGTCCGAATTACACCTCTAAACTATGATGTTAGTACAAATTACCTCTAGACATAAAACCATCTTTCGCCCTCAACTATTAATACCGGGATGAAGAACTCCCTAATTCAATCCGAAATGGTTTTGATCCTATGTGGTAGTCCATTTTTTTTAAAAAAAGTAATTCTCTCCCTCTACATACATACATACATACATACATACATACATACATACATAAGTACATATATATATATATATATATATGAGTACAGAATTACTGTTCACTACTGTTCACAGGTTAATGTTCACTCGAAAACTTTCTTTAAATTTTTAGGATCTTTGCAGGGTGGCGAATCCAAAAACAGCCGGCGCTTGATTTAACGTAGAGAAGTGTTCCCTTCGGGTGGAACTGCCTGGGGAGATGGTAAACGCTTAGCTAGTTCAAATATGACTAGGGATACCTGAAGTTGGTTGCTTAAATAGGCAGATAAGTGAGGCATACGGCTAGTACCGAGTAGGACTTTAAAATTTCTAAATCAAGCGCCGGCTGTTTTTGGATTCGCCACCCTGCAAAGATCCTAAAAATTTAAAGAAAGTTTTCGAGTGAACAGTAACCTGTGAACAGTAGTGAACAGTAATTCTGTACTCATAATAAGTGAATTCAGCACTAAGTAATTCTGTACTCATAATAAGTGAATTCAGCACTAAGAATAGTAGTGAATAGTTGTGAATTAATTATAAAGTGGTATCAGAGCCTGGTAATCATAGAGAAGCTAAATTTAGAAGCTAATATTGGAAAGTTAATAAATACCAAAGATAATATCAACATAAGGTGTAGACTAAGCCATACTGAAGAACATAGTTGGCACTCTAATAATAGCCAACTAAATTTAATTGTAGATTTAATATATAATTTCTATATAAATTGGAGTAAGAGACAAGAAGATTTAGAGCAAAAGTTAGAAGATATATATAAAGAACAAAAGCAATTTGTAGAACAATATTCTTTTCTTAATAATAAGCTAAATACTACATTAGAATTATTAGAAGATTATAAGATAAGGCAAAATAAAATTTCACAGAATAGTGATTATATTAAAGAATTACTAGACAAAATCAACTCTAGTAAAGGTAAGGAAATAGTTTTGGCTTCATCTGGCATAATCTCATCTTCACAAGCCATTAATTCTGAAAAATGGACATATCTAGGAGTCTCTTTAGAAGAATAGCAAGCAGAGATGATAACTGTTCTGATAAACAAAAAGGCAAATATGATGACATAGATGAGCTGAAAGATGTTGCACAAGTAGATAAGCAGCTCGAAAGATATCAACGAGATACTTTAAGGGCAATAAGGCCTCAACAAGTATACTGCATGGGATTTTTTGAGAATAAGAATGGGCTTTATAGAATATCTAGAGAACTAGAATTAAGTGTTCTAACAAAGCCACTAGAATTAAAAATAGTAGCTAAAGAATTTGAAAATAGTTTAAAATATTCAGGATATAAGTATATTCACCAAGGTATGTACATAATAGGAATCAAAGGAATGACAAGAAAGAAATTAGGAGCTAAAGTGCTAATAACCTTATTAGATAAAAGATGGGACACAATAAACAAAGCATCTTTAGGCTATCTAGAAGGAGATATGAATGAAAATATGTTGATAACCTATATAGCGCCTGATTTAATGATGCCTGTAAATGAATTCATAGATAAAATGAGTTTTGGTTTCCAAACAAAAGGATACGAAGAGTTTAAGGGAACAAATTTATTAATAAGTATAGAATTTATAGAAAGATTGACTAATAGAAGTGCCTCCAAATACAAAATCAATGTAAATGATGTGATAGAAAAAATGCATTCTAAAGGAATAAAATTCATGAGCCCTTTAATAATAGACTCTGAAGAAAGAGCAGGAGAAAAATGGCCAATTAGTGAATTTATAAAAAATAAAACCTTGAGTCAGCCTGAAAACTTCATAAGTTACCAAGACAGCAAAGGGAATGTTAGTATTAGATTTACAAATTATAAAACCAGAGCTTCGGATGATTTGGATGCAGAATCATCTGACAGAGATATTATAGATAACAGAAGACATAGTATATCTGAATTGATGGAAAAATTAGACCATGAAAGTGAAATAAAATATTATGAAGATAAATTAAGAGATATAGCAGATGAATATAATAACTCTATGAAAAGTGAGTGGCCTAAAATTAGAGACAAGGAACTTTATTTCTATAGAGAACTATCCAGGATTAAGAAAAAAAAAAGAGAAAAGCTTGGCCATAGAAACCCCCAGAACCCAGGAAATTAAAATAGAACAAATAAAGTCAGAAGAACCAAGAGAAGAAATCCAAAAGTTAGATAAGGTATTAAGTGAGGAAGAGCAATGGGAAGTAAATGAGAAATTATTACTAGAGAGTTATGAAGAAGAAAACAACCTGATAGAGGAAATAGAGAATATAGAAGAAGAAGATAATGCAGAACAATATAATGATTTTATAGACTCATTGGATGAGGAAGGTTTGCATAATCTAGATAATGCAATGGAAGCTATGGAAGTAGATTTGGGAACAGGAAAAAGGAAAAGATACGGAGAGGGTTCTGTAAAAAATGAAGGAGAAAGAGAAAGACCAGCCAGGGCAGCAGGAAGATGGCCTCCAGAAAAAGAAGAATATTCATATCATTATATCCCAGGACAGTATAGGCACATGGGCACTAAAAAAAGAGTTGCTTTCTTTAAATTTAAGATATAGGAGCAACTCCGAAAGATATAGAAG